AGCGACATGACAGGCAGCCCCAGCCCCGCCGCGAAGGGCGAGGGCAGCAGCGGGCTCTTGGCCAAGTTCAGAGGACCGCCATTGAGGGGCAGGACGGGGCCGGGCAGGGCGGGCAGGGTACCCGCAGCCCCGCAGCCCAGGGCGCTGAGGTCGAGAGGTGCCGGTGCCAAAGGGATGGGCAGCGCCGGCAGCCCTGGGGGAGCGAAGAGGGCGGCGGGGTTGGGGATGACGAGCTGCGCCCCGTTAACGTAGGGCACCTCTGGCGAGCCCAGGGGCGTTTTGGGAGGCGGATGGACCTTGAGCATCTCTGGGTGCTCGGGGGACACAAAATGCCCGTGGGCTTTGATGTGCTTGCGGAGGGAGCTGGGGTCAGTGTAGCGCTTGTGGCAGCCCGGCATCTTGCAGGAGTAGGGCTTCTCCACGTAGTGGGTGCGGGTGTGCTTGAAGCGGTCGCTGGAGTTGGAGTAACGCTTGTTGCAGCCTTCGTAGGGGCAGATGTAGGGCTTCTCACCTGCGGGACAGCACCGGGTCTGCCGGGGGGCACCAGCCCTGCTGGGTCCCCTGTGCCCCCCCGGGCCCCGCTGCTCCCCCGGTGAGCGCGGTGCGGGGGCTGCACTGACCTGTGTGCGAGCGGTTGTGGATTTTCAGGTTCTCCAGGCGGGAGAAGCTCTTGTTGCAGGTGGGGCAGCGGTGTGGCTTCTCATTGGTGTGTGTCCGGATGTGGATCAGCATCTTGTACCTGCCGGGATCAGGGGAATCACAGAACCATGGAATGGTTTGAGCTGAAAGGGAGCTTAAAGCTCATCTCATCCCAACACACCTGCTGTGGGCAGGGACACTTTCCACTGGCCCAGGTTGCTCCAAGGCCCGTCCAACCCGGCCTTGAACACTCCCAGGGATGGGGCAGCCACAGCTTCTCTGGGCAACCTGTGCCAGGGCCTCCCCACCCCCACAGGGAAGGATTTCTTCAAGATCTAATCTAAATCTCTCCTCTTTTAGTTTAAAACCATTTCCCCTTGATCTATCACTGTCTGCCTGTGGAAGTATCAGTAAGGGAATGTCAGGGAGGGGGTCAGCCCTGACTTCCAGGGCATGTCCTTGTCCTCGTACCCTGGCTATGGGGTGTGGGAACAGGGACATCCAGGCCAGCACGGTCATCCAGCCTGCCAGGACCTCACACCCTGCACCAGAGGAAGGGAGGGATGAGGGGAGGAAGGGAGAGATGAGGGGAGGGAGGGAGGGATGAGTGGAGGGAAGGAGTGATGGACACTCCCCCTGCACAGGCCCAGTGCTGGGTTCCTGCCTCCCACAGCACCCCCCCAGGGACCCAGAGATCTCCCAGAGCCGCCCATGCCCACCTGGCATTGAAGCCCCTGCCATGGCGGGCACAGCCCTCCCAGTGGCAGCAGTACCCTGCATCCTTCTCGGGTTTGACATGGAAGTCATTGACATGGTCCACAAGGTCTTGCAGGAGGTCAAAGAACTGGTTACACTGTGGGCAGAAGGCTGGGGGTGAAGAGGCCTGGTGGGGTGGGCACCGGGGGTGGCCAGGACCCCCAGCAGGGCCAGCCCCTGCTCCCCATCCCACCCCAGCTCCCACCTGGACCACATGCACAGCAGGACCGGCATCTGGGGAGATGGAAATGGCCCTTTGCATGACCACCCCAGCCTTGTATCACCCTGCACAGCCTCCAGTTACCCATGACTCCCCCCCCAGTCCTACATTGTCCCTGCACGGCCCTCCAGCCCCCAACCTCACCCCCAGTCCCACAGAGCTCTGCCATGGCCTTCCAGCCCCACCTCAAAGCTTCCACACACCCCACCATCCCCACAACCCTCCATGGTCCCCCCCATCCCTTCCTGCTGACCTTGGACCAGCGGCAGATGAGCTGCTTGGGCAGGGGCAGCTCAGGGGTGAGGCGTTTCTCCTTGCTGGGGGGCAGGAAGGCAGTGGGGGGCAGATGCAGGGCCCCCCCAGCCCCCAGTGGCAGGAAGAACTGGAAGGAGCTGGGGAGGCCGTCAATGTAGCGCAGGGACTGGAAATCCTGGAGCAGAGCCCAGATGAGGAGTCGGTAGGGGACAGGGCCAAGCTGGATAGAGACTCCAGGAGACCCCAGAACCCCACAGAGAGATCCCCAGAGATCCCCCCAGACCCCCTGAGACCCCAAAGCCTCCCAGAGATGCTGAAAGATCCCCCATAGCCCCCCCCCGAGATCCCCTCATGCTCCCCAGAAACCCCCTAAGCCTCCCAATCCCCCACCCCAGGGACCCCAAAACCTCACAGATACCCCCTGAGAGAGCTTCCAGGAGGCACCCCGGGGATGCCACTGGAGTCAGGGGGCAAGGGGGGAGGGCAGACAGGACATTGACCCCAGGGTGTGTGTACACCGGCAGCACTGGGCACGCTGCCGAGGCTGGGAACGCCGTCTGGGCACAGTCTCCATGGCTGGGGACACCTCGCGGGGGGTCACGGCCGTACTTAC